GTCGAATGTTTCCGGAGCCCTTCCACTAGGCCGTCTCTCATAATGATATGGTGGCTTTGGGGCACTAAACTCTAATTAAAGAAAACAACATGCAAGTGTTCTGCGCATAAACATAACACCCCGAGAATTTTTAATTAAACTACTACAACAATATAGTGCGAGTATACCTACAGACAGCAAATAATGAATAAAATTTACCTTTTAGTGAACCTGAAATTTACGTAAATCATGAACCGACGCACCCTGAGCCAAAATTTCATCAGCTGTGATGAGATTAAGGGCTTCTTACGCGGCCAATGTACGTAGTCGCTCTATACGCCGGCACGCACATGTGAAACAGGTTTCTACGAAACAAAAAAGATAAAAAAGTATAATAGCGACATGTATTGTCACTGTCTTTCCGGAAAATTCTTTCTCGACGAAGTATAGCTCCAAGCTCACCTAACGCTGCGGCCCGTACATAGCTCATTATATAGGCATAACTAGGTCGAGACTGCAACAGTATCAAGTTGCTTACCAGATCCTTCAGGAATTTTCTTCGGCACCCGGCAAATTTACGCTCTAAAGAACCCGCTTTAGCGGTGACCTTCCGCGGCTGATTCTGTACTAACTCGTTCCTATGTACGACTGGCATTTGGTCGCACGCTTGTGATAACCCGACGCTTGTTTCATTCACACGAAATTACTGCCGTTGGCTGGCCCTTCATCATTGCCGACGTAACTCCATCACGATTCACTGTTACCATTAACCTTGGCAGTTCTCAGTTTAGAGGAGTTCCTGGCAATGTAAAACCCATTAGATGTGATTGCGCAAGTTATTAGTCAGATGCGAATGTTGCCAGAACGCTGACCAATTAATTATACTGTACTAGACGAAGTAAGGAACGTGTCAAACGAAAACTTTTATTTTTCCAATATTTCAAGTTGAAGACCGGTATCCTCCGGAGAGGGAGAGGGAGAGAGAAATAGAGAAGAAAGGTAGGGAGGTTAACCAAGCTTGGCTCGGTTGGCTGTCCTACACTTGGTGTGGGAAAAATGGGGAATAATATAGAAAAAAGAGATAGAAAAGAAGAGGAGTAAGATAGAGATGGATGAATAGTCAGCTCGAGACTACACAGCACGGTACCACGCTGTTCTTTCACATGCGCTTGTATAACACTATACAATAATGCGCTGTTATCAAGTATACACAAGTTGTGAAATGGGCTCGAACACTTGAGCTATCAGTATCAAACGCTATTCAGAACAGTATAGCTCCTCGTCAAAAGCTGGTTGTATCCAGGAAGTCCAACGAAGAGTGTCTGGTTTTCTGGTTATATTCAGCACTTAAGCCGAGACCTAATTAGGAGTGTATGGTGAGTAATGCATGGTGTCAAGAGCAAGTCTCTGAAAAGTCATGAAAACATGTCACTGGCGCTAACATGAAGCATATCGCGTGAATAGCAGTTTGATAACCATGGTACGCTCTCCCATAATAGAGTTCACCTAGTACTCCAAATTGTTACGCACTTTTTCTAAATACACAAACATTCACAGCGAAAATGCCAGCAGATGCATATAGTGAATCCCACACACATAAAAAAAATGTAGCTAATCACAATAACCACATAAACCACTTAAATAAGACAACATACATTACTTCAAAGTAAGGGGTACGAATATCGACAACACACAGCAAAAAAAGCGATGTGACGAAAGTGAAAATCTGCATATAAATTGATTATAATTAGACTGTAATCATCAAAGAACTGCATTCTGCGCCCAAAGAACCAAGTTAAAGCATGACTCTGGTGACTATATAGAATGATTATATTGACTGCGGAATGATATGTTATACTAAGGCATTAATATTTGTATCATGCACTCTTAAAATCGGCACAATTCGTTGAATGATTAAGAAAGCGAATCAGCGTAAACTTTTGACTCTTCTAGGATTTCATGACGAAGTTCAACATCAATATACGTTATAATGCCGTCATCGGTTTCAATGTTCTTTATTTTCTGTTATTAGAGTGTACTAAAAGTGTTGAGTGGCGTGGCCGCGCCTCGCCGCCTGAACCCTTACGCATTGCCCATAGCGGCGGCGCTGCAGTCGAATAGTACTGAAAGAGCCGAGCGCCTCGTGCAAGAACTGCTATGCGCTTTGGCTCCTCCGTCGTGCTTTCTTGATGCAGATTTCTTCGTACCTGCCCTTCATTCATGTCTAGCACAAGATTCCATAGCCCTTGAAATATGACACGCCAATCTACTGAATTTGAGCTTCAGAAAGCCCTTGTGAGAGATCGAAAATAATTCAGAAAAGGCTTGTGTTATATTGATTTTTTCTGTCTTAACACTTTCTTCGTCGATTAGGCATCTAAAATATTCAGATTAACTGAGCCGATTTATTGGGAGCTATCTGAGCTCACAAAGGGGTGAGATTGAAAAAAAAATACCATAAGAGACAGAGAAGGAAATCGGAACCCCATACACGATGAATTGTTTTCGTAATTTACCTTTTCAGGGTATACTAACATATTTACACGCATTCACAGGGACCACCAATTGCCAAAGTTAGTTGTTCTGCTGCATCCCGTTCCTAAAAAAAAAAAAACATTCTGGGTTCTAGCCTTGCGCCGATCGTTTCCATTTGTCGAAGCTGAATATAGCGTGCCTCTGTACAAATGAGCAGAGTAATGTTCATCATTTTCAGAGTATGACGTCCTAAAAGCAGTTAAACTCAAGTTTAAGGTAGCCAGAAGAGAAATGCCCTACCTAAATGTAGCAGCTGTGCTAAGGGGCATGCATGGATATGGTTAATGGGGCGGTGACGAATGCCGTAAATGCGTGTTGATATATGATTGATTGATATGTGGAGTCTAACGTCTCAAAACCACGATATGATTATGAGAGACGCCGTAGTGGAGGACTCCGGTAATATCGAACACTTGGGGTTCTTTAACGTGCACCTAAATCTGAGCACATGGGCCTACAACATTTCTGGCTCGATAAGACATGCAGCCGCCGCAGCCAGGATTCGTTCCCGCGACCTGCGGGTCAGTAGCCCAGCACCTTAGCCACAAGTTTACCGCGGCGGGGCCTTAAATGCGTGTACTTGTTACTTGTGCATATATAAATATATAGTTGCAGCGAATAAATTCTTGGACTCCGGTAAATAGAATGAATAAAAAGAAGACGCACGTCGAAAAACAGAAAGGTTTTTTTACGTTCCGGCCGTGCGACCGGCCTTCGTCAGAATAACAGATGTAACAGTGGTGCAACAGCATATAAGCGCTTACGTTTCACTTCCAATAATCACGTGAGTTCAAACATCACAAAAACAAGTACAACAATCAGACATGAAATCTATATGGGGGCCCCCGTATCACATCCCATGCTTATAAGCAATCAATTAACGAGTCACGACACGTGCACAAGGATTACAGCTGGTACAAGCAATAACATTTTTTTAGGTTTATTCAGACAGTCATCCATGGTCTGGGTTGAAGGGGCTAAAGGCAGATGCAACTGCCTGACAACATCTACAGCGGTCGCTGATGCAAGATGCTAAGTTTCCCCATACCCTCATTTAAACCGCCTGCGATTGTATTGAACCTAAAGATGAGAAATGATTCGCGCACTTCCCTGTCATGATGCGTTCGGAAGCCAGACTCCAGAATCGTGGCTCTAATGTTGTCAAATGAGTGGCCCATTGGGTGAGCATGCTTTGATATTGGAAGGTGAGGAAGTGAAGAGATATGAGCCTTGTGATTGTTAAACCGATATCGGAAGGGTGTTTTGGTTTCGCCTACGTACTGCATTCCACAGATCAAGCAATCCAGGAGGTAAACTACATTACGCGTGTCGCAGTTATAGTCACCATATATTTTCACGCTGAAGTTAGATGCGGTGCTGTTTGCGATAACTGAAGTGGTCAGATGCTGGCAGACTTTGCAACGAGGTTTGTTGCAAGGACGGCAGCCAGTATATGTTTACTGCGTACGCTTTTTGACGACATGAGTAGGTCACGAAGATTTTGCGCTCTTCTGTACGGCACACGCGGTGGTTCCGGGAAAATTGATTTAAGTCATTCGCTTTGTAGAAGTATGTTATGGGGCTTTATTAAAACGGCATTTAGGGGTTGCGCAGGCGCGGAAAATGTTAGAACAAGGTTAGTGCAGGAGAAGACCGGCTGTTTATTTTTGTTGCTTAAAAGCGTTTTGCGGTCCTGGTTACTTGCCCTTTTTATGGCGTCATCTATAATCTTGCAAGGGTATTTCAGTTTTAATAAGGCACTCCAAAGCTGCGCACAATTGGAATTAAAATCAGTTTCTTGGGAGCATATTCTTTTAAAACGAAGGGCCTGGCTATAGGGTATGCTGGTTTTAGAGTGCTTGACATGGTTGCTATTAAAATGAAAGTACTGTGGAGTATCAATTGGCTTTCTGTAAACTTTAGTGGCAAGCTTGTCGTCACACATTGTCACTGTTACGTCAAGAAAGTTGATAGCTTGTTCTGAGTAGGTATAAAGAATAAAATGGATGTGTGAGCGTTGTTGAAATCGTGAATGAACGATAAGAGATGAGGTTCACCGTGCTGCCAAATCATGAATATATCGTCAATATACCTTTTGTAGTACAATGGTTTAAGTGAAGGGCTTGTCAGAAATTCATTTTCGAGTATGCCCATGAAAATATTGGCATAATTAGGGCCTATGGGTGTGCCCATCGAGGTGCCATTAACTTGAAGGTAATGAGTGCCGTCAAATTCAAAGTTTTTAGATTCCAAGACGAATTTTAAAAGGGCCATCAATGTCGAGCTGTCAATGATTATATATATATATATATATATATATATATATATATATATATATATATATATATATATATATATATTGGTATTGATATTGGTATTGGCTCTTGGTATTGATAAGGATTGCTTCTTTATAACTTTCTGTTTGTAGTGCTCTTTTAAAACCTAAAGGTTGGCCAGGACATAAAATAATGCGAGCTTTTATTGCGCTACTCACATTTTTCCTTGAAGTTTGACGATGCGTTGTGTATGAGTTGAAACAGTGGCGAAGACTCTGTCGGTGCGGATGAGGATTTGGCTGCGAATAAATACAAGGGTAAAAAATAAATGGGTAACTATTTCAACAATGAATGCGCCAGCCAATGCCATTTCAACTGGCGGGCCAGACTTTGTCAGAGTAATGAACCTTCTTTGACAAAGGCTGGTCGACCGGCCGAAACGTCAGTAAATATCTAGGAGATACGCGGTCACGCTTTTTTATTGTCTCATTTACTGAATAGAGATAAACTGCATGCATGGGGACATCATTTCAGACAGAAGAAAAACAGGTGGTTTAGCATAGAGAATGATGGGAGGATGGCAACATTGTACTAAAATTAGAAGTATTGTGCCATGATGGCTCAATTACCTGATAATTATTTCAAAATCTGTCCAACGAGACGGCCTAACAGCAAACAAAAAGAAAGGACAAAGTCAGAGTCGCTGAAAGCGCGTCATATTCAATCTTTATCACTCCGAGTCCGTGACGACAGACTTCTCAAACAGAACGCATGATATAAGAACTATTACAAAAGGAAATTTTTATATGACCTATGCAGTCTGCTTTAACAGTGCGATACTCATAGGTATCCTGTGTGACTCCATATTAATGCCATCCTCCCCCACGTGACAACAGAGATAAATATCAGCAGTGCATATATAAACAAACCAAGATTTTGGCAGTAAACTACGAATGACACTTTTGCGCCACAAAAATGGATGGTTTTTAAAAACCGTTGCAGACAATTTCACGAAGGTTGTACGTGTTATCTGAGCCGCCACTAAAGCCTTGTAATGGCGAATTCTATTGGGGTAGCAGGATAACTCAAAAGCACGCTGAAAGTGCTCTCTTCAAAACCGGCGTGTTTCAGAGGTTGAACAGGAGAAAGAGCACTGTGATCCATTGGTAGAGCGAGAGCACTTTTGCTGCTCCGAGAGCATCACTGCTCCGTTAGCAGTGATGTCGCCTGAAAAGCGGAGTAGGCGCAGTCAAGAACAGTCACATGACCTTCGATCTTCAGTATCAGAATTTTTCTTCAGCTGGCGACTGCGGCGCCAATGGTGGCAACCATGTGTCACCACTCACCACAGTTTCGCACGGGTGGCGATGATGACAGAAGTCTGCCGAGTGGGTCTTTGCACAAACATACTATGTCATAAAATGATGAAGAACATGTGATTGACCGCTTTCACGCGTATTATGCTGCTGTCCCACAGAGAATGCTGGGCCTTGAAATTTTTAAATAACATGGTCTCCTCACTCGTCTTCACCCTTTCACCTGCTCTCCGGGAGCGTGCTGTGTTCCAGTGGCCGATCGAGTGACCCTGCTGTCAGTGCTCTGCTTCCCAACTCCTCACTGTACGACGCCTCTACTCCTACTTCCTGAATAAAATTCGCCATAAGTGTCCACTTCTGGTCTCGTAATAATCAATCACTCAATCATTCAATCATTTATATAACGTGCCCTAAAACAACCATGAGGTCGCAAAAATGTACTCTTCACAGAAATCAAATAAAAAAAGAGAGAAAACACACAGAAAATAGAAATGAGTGCAAAATGGGAGGAATGTAAGGACAAACGAGAATCATAAAAAGAAAGTGAGAAATAAAAGGCAATGAATATATACACCCATGTAGAAACTTCCCTGAAATAATGAAAATGGAGGAATCTGTACAGTGTAAAAACCGTGTTATAACAGTGCCCAGTTTAGATAACAAAAATAGCAGTGAACTGGTAAAAACATCAACATCATGAAAGTTAACTATATAGAGAATTTGTATTCTGTGAGCAGCAGAGAGTTCAAAGAAAGTGCATGAAATGGTCGATTCTTTCTGGTTAACTGGCGCCGAATCCAAAATATTACACACCTGAGAGGCAAAGGGCAGGATATAAAACCGTGAACTAGTTTGTAAAGAAATAAGACGTCAGCGTGACTTCGTCGGCAGTGATGTAAAGGCCACAATTTAGTTCTGGTAGTTTTTGAACGAGATCCAGGGTTATTTCTATCAAAACGATGATTGTAAGTGCTTATTCATTTATTCTGGACTTGCTCAATGGTGTCACTGCCAGATTTAGGGATGCCCTTCCAGACCACAGATGCGTACTTCAGTAGAAGAAGACATATTGCGGCGTAGAAGGCTGTGGAAGAACTAAATTCTCGAAAGATTCACAAACACAGCCGAGAAAACAAATGCCTATAATAATAATAATGATTCTAGTAATATTAGGATGGTAATGTTATTAATAATAATTGTTGGGGTGTAACCTCTCCAAACCATCATTTCATTATAAGAGACGCCGTCGTGAAGGGGCTTCGGAAATTTAGACCACCTTGAGTGCCCCTAAATACAAAAGCACACAGGCCTCAAACATTTTCGCCCCCTTCGAAAATGCGGTCGCCACGGCCGGCATTCGACCCCTCGACCTGCAGGACAGCAGCCGAGCGTCCTTATCTATAGACCTCCGTGATGGATTACTTCTTGTCCAGTAGTTGGCGCTGCATGAAATAATATGGAACCATACCATCTCGCCCAGCTATTGACCTCGTTGCTATAATAAATACCCATCCGAATGAGCGAACCACTTCCTCAGTCACAACCGTTTCAATCCGGTAGAACAAGACGCGGTGGGATACTTACATAACCGGCCACATTGTTGCCCCGGCGTGACTACGTACGCAAGAGAAATATAAATGACGCAAACGAACTCACCAAGATCCAAACAACCAACGTAAGAAACAAACGAAGGAACAATCAGGCTAGCTTTTCCGCAAGGGTGTCTCAAATTACGTTGAACTTGAGGAAGCAGCAATTGTTGTGGGCCAGTTGCAACATACTGCAGCACCTGTGCTTCTTTTGGCGAGTGACGGACGAGGCAGAAGGCAAGTAGCCGTGTTGCCAAGGATTTACGTCGGCGCGATTACACTAATCGCTTGTAGATGTTGCTCCGAGATGGTCTCGTCATATAATTCACGCTGTTTGCTTGCCAAGCGCTCGTCCGAACAAGCACGATGCATGCAGTCGGGTTATCAGCAGAAGGATACCATTGTTGCCTTCGCTGCAGCATTCTGTCTTTTTTTCTCTTTCTTTTCTTTCTTCATTTCTTTCTTTTATTCTTCTTTTCTCTTTCTTTCTTTTTTTATTTTTCGTTCAATCTTTCTTCCGATTGTTTCTTCATTTTTTCTTCAAGAAGACTGTGTGAAATTAACGTCGTCAGGGTTGTTAGGCGAGATGGAGTATCGAGGAGTGAAAAACCTGGCATATAAATATTTGCTTAGCGAGTTGCGCCCGACAAGGGCTACACGGCCCCGCTTGTGTTGTCGTGTGGACCACCCAAGTAGTCGGACGTTCAGTACAGCCGCCTTCAACACCGCACTTTCTCATACCATGCTGCAAACTTCACAGCACAGACCTGGTGACCAAGCTTTGCTTTTCTTGAAAGGCCAAATTCACGAGTGTTGCGTTTGCAACACAGCAGCCTGGCTGGATGACCGCTTTAATAAGGGAGGCTTTCCATCTTCCAGCTGCGTCTCGCAGTTAAAAATGAGCGGTAAGCCCGGAGAGATATGTAGCTCACGTAACAGTTAGCGCGTATTTCCCGCCACCAGTTAGGCAGACTTCTGCAGTTTGCACGCACTTAAGGTTAATGAATGTTTGCTGAGTGTATAAGCGTTACTACTGGGAGCGGTGGCTGTGCCTCTAGAGTGTCCACTAACCCATTCTTATTCGCGTTGCAGGTGGTTACCAATGTTATCTTTCTGATGATTCTTCGTGGTCCGGACTGCGTTGCTTCATCACGCATGACAACTACGTCCACTTCATGGCATCACGCAAGTGATCCTGTGGCTATCACAACGCGTCTTCGTGCAACCGTTATGTACACTTCAACTGGGCGTAAAATATCGACCCCGCCGCCCCTGGTCCTGGGTCCAGCTTGGCAGGCACCATCGGAATCTACAGACGGCATAACGGCAGCTAACCACCGGATCTGCGCTGCTCGTTTCCTGGGCTCGGTGGCTGTGCCTCTAACCATTGAGTGTCCACTAACCCATTTCTATTCACCATGCAGGTTAGTCCACCTCACAGTTTATTCGCTAAACGAACGAACAATTTTACAGCTGCCGAGCCCCCGGTGTTTATTCTCGATGGTTTGTAAATGTATTGCTGTTGTGCGTTTCCTCTTGCTGCAGCTCTCGGGCGACATTGAACAAAATCGTGGTCCTGATTTAGGAGCGGTCCTAGCTGAACTGAAGAAGATATCTACTGGACAATCTAAACTTATCTCGGAAGTACAAGAGCTTAAAAGTCAGATACTAGCAACCAATAACACCTTGTCTGAACTCAATAAACGCCTATCGAATGCGGAAGCCAATTGCCAGAAATCGAGCCCTTGAGGCAGAAGCTCGTAACAGTGCAAACCGACACAGCTGAAACAGCTCGTCAAGTTTGTAATATTGAAATCCTTCTTGATGAAGCGGAGAACCGATATCTGCGTAATAATTTAATATTTTATGAAATTGTTGACACAAGCAAATCTGAATCATTTGCACAGTCAGAAGAACAACGTTATTCGACTATGCTTTGAACAACCTAACTTTGCCTTAGAGCCAAAAGAAATGGAGCGAGCACATCGCCTAGGCAGATACTGTCTGGATCGCAACTGGCCTATTAGGGCCAAACTTTCCTTTTTTAAAACCAGGGAAGCCATATTGTCGAATGGTCGCAAGCTTAAAAATACTCCTTACAGTGTGGGTGAAGGTTTTTGTCAAAAAGTACAGATCGCACGCAGACACCTAATAATCTCGCAAAAAGCAAGTCGGTCCCTTTTTTCTCTCCGCTACAAAACACCATTGATTAGCTCAAAGCGCTACATGTTTGACGAAACATCTCAATCCGTTAAGAATTATAGCTAACGCGCAGTCACCACCAGGTGTCCCGACGTACTGTGCCTGCCTCTCGAAAATCTTTTTCAATCTCAGTTATCTTTACCAATGTTAGAAGTTTTGCTTCGAAACATGAACAGGTAGCTGACCTCGTAA